GTGTTGCATGGAGGTCCTCTTTTTCTCTCTCACATACACACACACACACACACATACATACACACATATACAAACACACACACAAACACACACATACACACACAAAATGTTGAGTGCTGAATTTATAATTCTATTTTCAACATTTATTTGGTCTATATAACTCTTGGCAACACATAGCCCCGAAAATCAGAACACTCAACGCATAAGAGAACTTTTCTCTACCTGTCGTTGACAGGATATGGGAATCGTGGAAAACCTTGAGAAGCGACGTACCGTGACTTCGGAGGTGTCTATCGTCGTTCTCAACCAGTGAGGGAATCAGATGGCTTGTGACAACCCCAAGGACAGTCTCCCTAATCTTATCACAAGTCGATCCCTACAGTGATGTGACCCCGACCTCTCTATCTAGACCTAGGCTTACACCAACCCACGCCTTTCGAGAGGTCGTAGACACTTTCCCCGGCGCTACTGTAGGGACACCCTGAATCTCGAGCACGACCCAACCCAGATACATGAGGCGTCACAGTCAATCCCCCCCTATATCACAATGACATACCACGAGGGTCATTCCCCCCTTGTATCACACTGACATACCGCGAGGGTGCGGACTCGCAGCCCGCGGCGTGACTGAAAACAAAACGAGGTACAAGGTCCCGGGTATAGGAGTCTTTAGGCAGATGGTTTGAAGGAAAAAAAAAAAGAGGGTACTGGAAATAGATGTTCTTGGGTGCACAGTGCCTACCTTTACCTCGTGTGCTTTCTGTTACCAAATCCACGTTCTTTCTTTTCAGTCACACTCCCAGCTACAAGCCCGTGCCCTCGTGGTATGTCAGTGTGATACAACAGGGGAATGACCGTGACACCTCCTTTATCTGGGTTGGGTCGGCCTCGAGATTCGGGGTGTCCCTATACTAGCACCAGGGGAAGTGTCTACAACATCTCGGAAGGCGCGGGTTGGTGTAGGTCTGAGTCTAGATAGAGAGGTGAGGGTCGCACCGATGTAGGGATCGACTTGTGATAAGATTAGGATATAACAAGTCATGAATGACACCCCCTGGAATGAGACCATCCTTGGGGTTGTCACAAGCCATCCAATCCCCGTACTGGTTGAGTACAACAACAGATACGTTCCGAGTCACGATATGTCGCTTCTCAAGGTTTTCCGCAATTCTCATGTCCTGTTTGCAACCAGGATGGTTGTGTATACATGGATGCGTTTTGTCGTTTAATGCGGGGTTTCCATATGGGGAATGGCGTCGGGCACGTAAGGGTGCTTGAGCCTGGGAACAGTGGCAGCTCTAGCTCTGGCCTTAGCCTTATTGAAGAAGACCTTTGCCATTGTTTCGTCAGTGTGTTCCTTTTTTATTTTCGATTGCACTCTTCATGTCTCAAATGCTCCACACCCCATGGCATACCACATCTACAGCACGACGTCGCAAATGGCACCAGTGCCCTCTACGTCCACATTCATGGATTGCAGCGTTATCTTCCGCCGTGCACGAATGGCCACTCTCATCCTCCCCTCGGTCCTCTGCAATTGACACCAGAAGAGAATGGCGTTCATGACCGTTGTCACCGTCGTCCTCTACGCCTTGCTCAGTGTGTCATGGCCCGCCTCCCCGTTCATGTCCATAGCCAAAACTCGTACTATCGACATGGCGTCGCCAAGTACAGAGGAGTCCACGTGTGCTAGGGCGCACAACAGTGATGCTGCGAGTGACGACCAGAGTGCACGGTGTACACGTCGACGACGAAGGTGCGCCTGCAAAGACGACAACAATGGCAATCGTGTGACGACGTGTCTGATGCTTTGGACGTGTACATATACGTTCGGCGTTCCCACCGACACGCAGCCGCTACCCCGTACCCAAACGCTTCTGCCGAGGAACGTTGCTGCCGTCAGCCGCAAGGGACGCCAAGGCCGCCGTCACTCGCTTGCGGAAATTCGAATTTCAAATTTCAAATCCGGAACTGCGTGCCTTTTTCGTGGCCATTTCTGTTTTCGCCACCAACTTTGGAATTCGCGACGCCCACCTGAGCTGGACCAACGATGTCGGCACGGACACAACTTGTTGGACCAACCTCGCTCTGCCCTTTGTGACGCGCTAGCCTCACGCCCTGTGCTGTCTTTCGTTCGGAGTGTTCGCTGTGCGGAAAAGAGGCCCAAAAAAACAGCAAGATGGGGTGTGCCAAGGATTTTTGGAAATTGAGTGTGGGGACACAGACGAAAGTGAAATCCCCCGTGTTGGTCCGACGAAGCAAGTCGATCGTTTTTCGCGCGTCGTGGAACGCGCGCGAACAGGCGGGAGGAGGGAAAAATCCAAATTCAATCCAAAAAATATTGTCGCGCTTCCCACCGGGCTACGGCCCGTCGTTTAGAACGAAAAGGCTTTGGCACGCTTTTCGTGTCTCGTTTCCGTATCAAATCTCGTCGTCGCTCGTCGGTTAGTTTCGAGTCCGACGTGGATGGTCTCAGCCGCGTGGCTCTTTCCTTGTGCTCGTCTTCACTCCGTATCCGATAGTGAAAGCCTTTCGATTCGTAGCGATCGAAATGCTGGCACTCAGTGCGCAGGGTTCGAGGCTAGTGAGGCGCCACTGTCGTCCACGGAATGACGATCAACTCGTTAAAGGGGAGCAATATCGAGTAGGGTGGGAAGTGTGTATCGATAATGACAAAGCCCGCATCTACGAATCCAGAGCAACGACCTTCGGGAGAGAAATAATACTGTCCGCCGATTTGTGCGATAGCTTCTTGTACGTCCCACTCGCATACACGTGTCATTTCCTTACTGTAAGGAAAAGGCCGCGTTGGGATGGGAGATACGGGAGGCTGGCGCCCAATCGAAGGGTACTTGTCAGCCCACATGTCAATCGATTACAACATATCCTGAGACGTCATTAAAAACAAAAGCGACTCGCGCGTCCCCCAATCAATCTTTTTGACACAAGAGAGAGAGAGAGAGAGAGAGCAAACACAGATCAGCTTCATCATGCATATGGCTACGGGTCCGATTAGTCCAACATAACGTTGGTCCCTGGGCGCCTTGTTTCTCAGGGCCGCCTCGTGGCTCGGCTGTTGATGTCGTGAGGTCATAAGGCAGATGGCCTGTGTATTGCAAACAGGGCTATAGATCTAAACACTCTTGCATTCTCGAACAAAATCCCGACGACATTCGTCTATTCAACAAAGGAATCGCACATTCCATACATGCATTCACTGTGGAAGGTGCGAAAATGAGACATGCTCATGTCACTTAGTACACACGCATCCATCGTTCACAAGACAAGAGGACAAGGTCCTTGCATAGGAGGATGACCCAGGAAACTAATGGATGAGTTCCGGAAGAAGTTTTTTTACGCAAGGGAAACACACCGATTTGCTCCTACTCAGGAGAGAACGCGAGAGACAATCAATCGAGATACATCATTATTCAAAAGTAGAGAAAAGAGGGAGAGGAGAGAGAGGAGAGAGAGGAGAGAGAGGAGAGAGAGGAGCGAGAAGAGAGAGAGAGAGTGAGTCGAGATAGGTGATGACCAGATCTGAGACATTCGACATGACCACCATGCACTCATGCCAAAGATAAAGATTCGCAACAACAAAGGCGCATTCACTGTTAACTCCAACATGGCCCCGGGCCAATCACCCACTCAACTCCGATCATCTATCCTCATACCCGCACCGACGATCCCGGCCGCCGCGTCCTAACTCCCACCGTTGTGATCGTCACCCCACTGTCGTAAACTCGACTCAGTTCGCCCAGATCCCATAGTCCGTCGTGGCGATCCAGCGTGCAACTGGACAACCTACCGTCAGCCCGACGGGACTTTCCGACTTGCATCAACACACTCTGCCTAGCCACTGCTTCCCGAAAGCTGGCTTAGGAATCGAGAACGTAAGAGACATTTGCGGACGCGCTCGCGGGTTTTATAGTTGCGGCAGGGGAGATAGAAGGGGGAGAAGGCGACAAGAAAGTTGGTGTGTAAGAGGAGAAGCAGGAGGAGAAGACTTTGAGAAGAGTATTCTGCGAACGCCATGCTGATCCCTCGGTACTCAAGGTTCAACCAATCAGATTCGTCGCGCGATAGGAAGGTCCTATCAATCCACGCACCTGATTGGCGAGCGGGAGTTATCGGGGGATCGACCGGACGCCGTATGCCAGAGTCAGAGGGTGTGAAGAGAAAAGGCGCGAGAGGTGGCGCAAGACGGGTCCAAGATTCAGATGATCAAGAAAGGGAAATGGGCGCGCAAAAGCAAGACGGGAGAGAGGGAGAGAGAGAGGGAAGGAAAACAGTTATGGGGAGAGAGAGAAAGGAGGGAGAAGGAAAAGGAGGCGCGGGAGGGGGCGATGCAGGGGACAGAAGGAGAAAGCATGTCATGGCGAAAGGAAAAAGGGGTCGTCACATATGTGACGTGCAGGGGGTTCCAAAATTATGCGATCTCCTGATTGCATGTCATTGCGAAAGGAAAAAGGGGAGCACAGAGTGATGCATGAGGAACCAAGCGTATCAACAGAGCAAAAGAAGTACAAGGAACGATAGCTGGGTCGCGGATGAGATGGCGACAACATCCGCGGCAAGATCTCCGCAGCCCTGTCATATGCAACCCTCTGCCTCGTGGAGATCGTCCAGGTGATGCCATCATGGTTCGCCTGATCTCCGTGTGCTCTGCACCCTGGCTCCTTGTCGTCCGTCGAATCGGCGGGTAGGTTGACGTCATCGTTCATGGCGTGATCTTCGCGAAGCTTACCGATTCGTGCAAAAAAAA